CGGCGGCTCCGCGGGATGCGCGGCGGGGGAACGCGGATGCTCTGCCAGCGAGGAGAGGGGCAACGCTGAGGCCGCGCAACTCAGCACACGTGTGTTTCCACTGCTGGGGACAGCGGCGCCCTGGCCCCCCCATTGCCAGGGCTGAGCGGATGGACACCAGGCCCCCTGCACCCTGGCCCCGCTGCGGCCCCCGCCAGCCCAAAGAGCCTGTTGACATATGAAAGTCACAGCAAAAATCCCCCTGAAATTACAAAAGAGCACCAAAACCAGCGCGCGGGCCGGGCCTCCCGCACAGTGTACACACTCCTATTCAGGCTTTCAAAAAACAGCTACACGTCTAAGGAAACATCTGATAATTAAGGCAATTTTAACAATAGATAATAATTTGACTATGAATTGTATGGAATGTAATGACTGCTTATTCTGGCAGAAAAAACAGCCCTTTCTGTGAAGCGCCTGCCAAGGAAAGCCTCGTTGCTAAATGACATTAGAAGCGGCTAAAAATACCCCAGGCGACGTTCCCGCTCCCGTCTCCGTGCAGGGAGCGGCGCTGGCCGCGAGGACGGTCCCCACGGCCACCTCCCGCCCACTTGGGAGGACGATTGCTCTATTTATACCCGCGGGAGAGCTGGAGCGGCCGCCCCTGCTGGAAGGGCCTTCGGTGGGATGGGAAGGTCACCCGAGCCCAGCGCGACGTCCTCACCGGCAGGACGAGGAAACAACGCGGGGATGAAGGGGACGAGGCCCCGTCCCGCGCGCCGCAGACCGAGAGGAGCCCGGGAGCCGGCCCCGGCCTGCAGACTTCAACAGCACCAGCAGCGCCAGATGACACAGCCCTGGGCAGGACCCAGAAATGGTTTCTCTGCTGGAGGAGAAGCTCATGAACTGCTATAACCACATTGGCGGCAGCTTTTATATTTAAAAAAGTGACACCAACAGAGCAACTTTCCCCATCGAGCAAGGGGGACACGCGGGCCAGCCCTGGTGGGAGCTCGCAGGTGACAACCATCGCCCACGCACAAGCGGAGACGTTTGGGCCCCTGCAGAAGTTACTCCAGGAAAAGCCCATGAGCCCAAAACCCCAGGCCAAATGATTTCCTCTGTCACAAGGAATGAACTGCTTTCGATCACTCCCCATGAGTAAAGGCAGCTGCTTTGTTAATTTAGTTTAACTAGGGAGACAAAGATTACGCACAGCATCGCTAATAAAGACGGGAGCATGACAGGCTCTTAGCTCCCTGCAATGGCAGACCCACGTGGCGATTCCCAATAGCGAGTTTCCCATCCGATTCTGCCCCCAAGCCATGGCAAAATCCACATGGGAAGGAGAACAGCAATGCTATGGATGCTGTAGAAAACAGCAATCATTGCATTTCTGTAGAAAAATCACAGCTTAACTGCTATGGCTTTCACCAATGGGCAAGGCATTTTTTTAAATCAGCGAAAGGAACATTTATTTCCTATCATTAGGAGGAAAAGGGAAGAAAACTCCCATCTACTTCACACCTGAGGGCAGGAAGGAGCCTAAGAAACGTTGGATCTGTTTGTTTTTAATCCCAGCCACCCGCCAGGTGCCCCAGGTCACTTCGCATTCTACTCGGTGGCCACCCCAGCCTGACTGGGTTAAGTGACCACCACAGATGGTGGCTCCCACGCGGGCCACTCCGTCACCACCACAGGCTGGACATGGGGATGCAATAAGGAATAACACTTTCTGGGTAGCAGGACATCATCATAATGCACATTCTTCACTCTGGGAACTCTACAGGTAATGTTAAACCTCACCATGCACTTGGTGGAATATCCACTCTTGTCCACACCAGCAACTCCTGCAAAGGGAATCCAGACCTAAATCCTCACAGCTCCTCCACCAAGCACGCGTCCCCTGGGACTTCCCTCCTCTCGAGCTGCCCATCGACACGATGCAGCCACCTTCACCCTGCTTTAACCAAGAATTCTCCAAATTGCAACCTCTGCTATTGCAGCACAGAGAAGGGATGGTGCTTCAGGTGAGGACAAGTGGTTGGAGGGCTGGTTTGGTTTTATAAGAGGAACATGAGAAACACCTGTGCTTGCAGGGAATCCCCTCCCTGGGCTCCCCATCCCATCCACCAGCCCTCAGCCGATATTCCTGTGCTTCTCCTCGCTGGATGCTCCCGTGGTTTCCCTCGCCAACAAGGCCACACGAGCAACATACCCATTTTTCTATACAGTATCAGGAGCCAAAAAAACTGCTCCCAAAATGACCACCACCACCAGACAGGTCTGCACAAATAGTGACCTCTCAAGCAACGGCAGCAAAACTGCATCTCCCCAGCACACACCACAGGGGCAGAGGTGCACGAGCATTACAGATCGCTCGGGTACAACCAGAGCGGTGGGGCCATAACCTGGGAAGCGTTTCCACGCAGAGCCCCCGCAGTAATATCTTTTTACACCACTGACACCTAGTTAACATAAAAAGAAACAATTTCTATATATTCCGCACTACAAAGAACACATTATACACCTCTTATGGCACAAACAATGAGTCAACCAGCTGTGCAGCTTCTCCTCCAAGTGGTATTTGTCAGCTCGCTAGAAGGAAAAAGACCACTTGCTTGGGCACGGTATAACCTCTCATTTATGGCTTTTCTGATCAGGTTCAGAACCTGGTCTGAACCAACTCTAGGTCAAACTCCTACGTAATTATGGACAAGTAGTAGCTATTTAGCATGAACAAAATGATGATACAGATGAGAAGACTGCTGGAATGAATATTTTGTTTCAAAAAAGAAAGTCTGCACACACCTACTTCTTCAGAAGAATATAAATATGGCAAAAAAATAAAATGCAGGTAAGAAGCTCCTGTGTCACGGGACAAGCGTCGTGCCTGTGCGGTAAGGTTGTTTCCCACGTTGTCACGCAGCTCCGCATGGGGACGGATCCATCTGCACTGCCTGGGCACTTGGCTTTGGCAAGGCAAGGCCAATAGTTTTGCAGGTTCAGTACTCCCAGCCCTGACAATAAAGCAGTGACTACCCCTCCAGAACAGTCATTTGACACAAGGTTTCGGATGTCTTTCTTTGGAAAGGTGTTAGGAAGTTTATGCCCGCGCGCTGTGATCCAAAGCAATTCTGCAAGGGTACGGGATAATAAAACAAGAACCCAGGCTGAGAAGCCTGGGCAAGAATCGAAAGAAAAACTAGATGGACTTTGGACTGGAGTTCATGTTTCTGTACATTAACCCGTCGGCATCACAGCCCCAGATTTCCTCCATCTCCAACCCATTCTTCACCGCGCCACTTCCTCTCACCCACACCAATCTCATGCTCACTGACGAACTAAGGTCATTTTCAATTCACTTTTTTGGGTAAAAAAACACCACAATCACCTAAAACACGAACCGAAATCCAAGTTTCGCGCAAGGAAAATTTTTTCTTTGGCGTCCAACTCAGCCTCCCATGTCGAAGGTCACCAAGTTGGTGGCACAAACTTTGTCACTTCCCTATAATCAACCATTGCTGGGGCCTCCGTGAGCCGGAGCCTCCATCCACCCGAGCTCCTGGTGAAAGTGGTGGCAGATGAAGCTAGTTCAGAGCGTTAAAAGCTAGAGCAGGATCAGCTGTTAACACCCCTGTCACACAGCACAGCCCGCAGCAGGAAGGAAGGTGCGGGAACCCCCAAGCAAGAAACACCCCCAAGCTGCAGGACGATTCCTGTTTACAGGAATCACAAAAACGCAGTGCATTTTGTGCACAAAAAGCAAAAAATTAAACAAACAAAACACCTCCCGCAAAGTTTTTGGCAGTGCTCTCCAAAATCGCCTCCCGAGCAGGATGACATTTGAGCCGTAACTTTGCAAGACCTGTTGCTTTCGAGCGCGGCCAGGCGCAGAGCCTCCCCCTGCCCTCGGAGCAGCAGCAGGGCCTGGCTGCTGATTTCTGCCCACGTGTCATTCCCAAAAGCCCCGCTTTTGTTAAATAATCTTACCTTGCTCATCGCATTTCTCTGACCCCTCATTTCAAAAGCACAGGGTCAACCTGACAAAGCTTTGGAGCCTCAAATGGAAGCCCTGGCAGCATGAGCTATTCCTGACCTCCTCCAAAGCACACCAAGTCATCTTAAATAACAATATATGAAATAAAAACTTGGTCTAAACCTGCCAGATACCAAGTGTCCCGGGAAGCCTGCACGCATTACCGATACTACACTGATGAGGGTGGACTCAAATCAACCATTTGAGGAAGCAGGGAGGGCAAAGGGGAAGGAGTTTTTTTTTTTTTTTTTTTTTAACTGCAACCCGTCAGACGTTTCTCATTAAAATATTTCTCGGAGAAGTAAGCGGACCCTCGATTTTATTCAAACAGATACAACCTAAATGCATCTTATTAGTCTGCCAATGTAAAAGTGCAACTGCCCGAAATCACTTTAGTTTAGTCGGCGGAAGCGGTAACGTATGGATATGTGGAGGGCATCCCGACGGTAAAGATCCACCCCAGCCCCTACATGAGCCGCCTAAAGGTATTTACTCGGGGTCTGTCTGTGTTGTGACAGTGCCCGCGCCTGCAGTGAATGCCTCTCACACTCGGCATTTCTGAGCCGTTCAGTCATGCATTTTTGTTATTGTGCGAAGCGGAGCGGGATCGCGGCGCAGGAGCCCGAGTCCTTGGTGGTCTCCGAGGATCCCGGCTAAAAAGGCGCTTCCTTTGTTAGGCGGAGAATGCGGGCCTGGGGGGCATTCAGGAGGGGGAATAAAAGCAGCAGCCCAGGGAGGGCGACGGAGGAAGAAACAAGAATAAGAGGGAGAGGGGGTGAAGAAAAGAAAAGAAAAAAAAAGAGAGAGAGAGAAAGAGAAAATGGTCTGGGGGAGAGCACGGGAGCTACCGCGTCCTCCCGCGGGCTCTGCCCGTCCGCGGGATGCGCAAGAGTCTCGGGACGAACGCGAGGGAAAAGAAAAGGAGGGAAGGAAGGAGGGAAGGAAGGAAGAGGCGCTTCTCCCGCGTGGCAGCGCCACTCACCGCGGATCTCGTGGCTGGGGGCGGCGGTCGAGC